GGAAGACTTTAAGTCATGGTACGACCTACAAAGGATTATAGGATCACAGACTTAGAATTAGAAAAGACTTTAGAGGACATGTAGTACAGTAATGTCAAATTCAAATAGAAAGGGATCCCTGCAGGCTGCATATAAACTTGGAAAACCACAAATTAAGATGATCTATATGGTATAGTATATATCCGTATATTTTTATTTATTTTTGTTAAATATTTCCCAGTTACATTTTAATCTGGTTTGAGCCCATTAGGAGTTTTGGAGCGGTGAGTTTGACACCTGTGATGTTGTCCATATTTGGCAGACCGGGAAATTGAGGACCAGAGAATTAAATATCTGACCCAAGGTGGCACAGGAAGTAATTGCCAGAACCAGAATTCACACTCAGATTTCCAATCCAATGATCTTTCTACTATACAAACTAAAAAGTAGGAACAATAGAATCTGTGTCCTTGTGTCAAGTGTGACTGCACAGTTTTGGTGTGTAAGGTAGCACCTGTTTTCCTGTTAACTAATGTTCCCCTAAAGTTCATCATGAGGGAACCCTCTAACTCCCACTGGATTTTCCTTAGTTTCCTTTGTCACATTTAAGATTTGCTATGATCCACATTAATTCTCCTACAAGGACAGAATTCACTCCATGTTATACCCCTTAAAAAGACTCCATCCTCAGAAAACAGTCACCATGTCCTGAGAATCAGCCCCAGTCTGTGAATAGAAGATTTGCCCCCACCAGGCCACCATAACTGCTTTATTAACTTATTATTTCTAATAGACATTAGCATTCTAGCTACTCTTTAATTCCTCACATTCATTCCTATCACCCGTGAATATTGCCACTGCTATAGCACGTTTTCCCATCTCTCTGGCCTTTAATTATTATAGATTTTTTTTTAATTTTCAGAAAATAAAGCACCAACTTAAATCTGTATACAGCTTCAAACCAACTTCAATCTGTACATAGACATCAAGGCTGGTTCTTTGTCTTACAGCGAGGTTGTGGTAATTAGACAGCATGATAAATGAAACAGGAATCACTCCCTCTAAAGTGACAGATGTAAAATGCACTCAAAACACAAAACACCCCAATAAACTCAAAGATAGACTGGGAGAATGCAAAAGAAACTAAGGAATGATTCTGTAGAAAGAGGTAGAGATTTGTTATTCAAAGCCTAATCAAAGAAGTGGAAATAAAGTAGGTACCTAACAATTGGAAAATAGCCAAACAAATTGTGGGCATACTGATGTAATGGAAAATCATTGAGGTAAAGGAATGATTAATATGAAAAATTCAGAGGCATGACAAGACTTGTATGAGCTGACGTAGTGTCAATTAAGCAGAACCAGGGAAATATTTTTATACATTTACATATATATGCATATACATTTAGTTATATACATATACATGCATATATAAACACATAACAATGTTAATAGAAATGACAACAAAATAAAACTGAATGACGTGTTATCATAATAACTAAGGTTGGCCCCAGGGAAGAGATGAGAAAATAAATTTTCCTTCCTCCATTGAAGAGGTGGGGGCTTTCAGGATATATAAAATGGCACATATTACCAGACATAGTTGATATACTTGTTTGGTTTTGCTAAACAGCTTTTCTTCATTTTCCTTTTTTTAAAAATTTTCGTTATAGATGTATTAGGGTTTGGATTTGGAATATAACCAATGGAGTATTGAGTCTGAACTCTAGCTGCTTCCAGAAAAATAACTCAGGGCTGAAGGACTTGAGTACCTTGAAATGGGAAGGCAGTCCTTTTATGATATTCAGCAGGAAGAGCCAGTGACCCAGTAGATCTTTAAAAGAAAGTGATTGGCCCTTGGCCTCTCTCTTGCCTTCTATCTACAAATGAAGTCAAGATTGTTAAAACTTATTCCTAGAGAGATGTAGGGAGAGGCCTTGTGCAAATGGAAGAAAGGATGAGCATTCTCATAAGGCATCTAGAACAGGGGAGATGAACAGGATTTAAGGAGGTGATCTGGGCATGGGTCTTGGGATCCTTAGCTGCCTTTTCCACATTGTATTTCCTTCCTTGAAGACAGGTAAGAACTGTACAGCGATCCTGGAACGGTTATGTCCTGTCTGGAGACAACTTTGTGAATCTGAGACACTGGAGATCTTGTGCTCTCTGGTTAGAGTTGATTTTCAGAAGAGTAAATTTCTGAAAGGATAACGACCAAATAGGGAAGAAGCTTATCCTTGGCTTGGACTTAAAGGGACTTACTTGGAAAGTTCAGAGCCAAGGTTATATATAAATATGTAATATGTAGATATTCCTGTTCATTACCAGTTCCCCATACTGCATTATGGCTTGACGTTTTAAGCATCAACCACCAAAAAGAAGGTAATAGTGATTAGTTTATGGCTGCTGCTTGTTAAATTTCCTGTCAATGTGCATTTCTTTAAGAGAGCCTTTAGTGTGTGGCACTTCTTTTGTCTGCAGTGAATAAATAACTGTCCCATACTTGATTCTTATTATATGTTGAGCACCTTTCTACTTTCCACTTTTGGAGACACCTAAATGTGAGCCAAACATAAGCTTTAGGTAATTTTCCCTGAAAGAAAAGGATTCTAATCCATCTAATTAGAGACCAGACTACCCCTAGGATCTTGTGTGTCTGGGTCTACCCTTAATAAAGAAAATGAGAGCACAACACTCCCTCTCTATGAGCTCTGAAGTAGTTACAATTGTTAGACGAGATACAGCTTACTTGAGAATGAAGGAGAGATAGAAATATTCAGAAATTAATATTGCATAAAAACAAAAGACATTGATAATTTCAGCAAACAAAATGTATCTTTAAAAGCAAGTAAGTATAAGGGGCAGCTAGGTGGCGCAGTGGATAGAGCACTGGCCCTGGATTCAGGAGGACCTGAGTTTAAATCCGGCCTCAGACACATAACACTTACTAGTTGTGTGACCCTGGGCAAGTCACTTAACCCCATTGCCTAGCCAAAAACAAACAAAAAAAAAACTGAATAAGTATATAAAAGAATTACATATGTATATATGTAATTCAAGGAGTGATTCTATTGCTGTATATAAAAGAATTTGGAAGTTTCAGGAATGTAAGAAGCACAAATGAAAATTCTTATAATACAAGGAAAATTTTAAAGAATGAAATTCATCTAAGGAGTCCAATGTTACTGAACTAGGAGCTCTCTAAGGGAGATTTAAAAGAATTTACATGTAACCAAGGACAAATAAAAGAGTGTCAAGGACCTATAAGAATACTGTAAGAATGAACAGAGCTCAGATGGGAATTTTGAAGTATAATTAAGGCAAAGAAGGGGCAGCTAGGTGGTGCAGTTATAGAGCACTGGCCCTGAAGTCAGGAGGACCTGAGTTCAAATCCGACCTCAGACCAAACACTTGATACTTACTAGCTGTGTGACCCTGGGCAAGTCTACCTAAAAATTTTTTTAAAAAAAAATTTAAATAATTAAGGCAAAGAGAGTTGGCCTAGAAAAGAAGCTAGAGAGCCAGCCTTGGAGTCAGGAAATCTTTTGGTTTTGCCTTTGATACAAACTAGCTGCATGACTTTGGGCAAGTGACTTAACCTCCCAATGCTTCCAAACAACTCTTTCAGATTTTAAGTTGCTGATCTGCATTGGTAGAGTGTTTTCTTATCAGGATCTCCATATACCAATGTAATAACAGAGCGAAAATTTTAAAATGGAAAAAATCAGGAAAAAGAAGGAACAGAGGCCATTGATTACAGTAGAGAGCATAATGCTAGCAGATGACAGAGCCAGAGCAGAACCGATCAACTTAATTTCTTTTTCCTTTGTCTTTGCAAATGTGATATATATATATATATATATATATATGTGTGTGTGTGTGTGTGTGTGTGTATGTATATATACACGCACACATATATATGTACATATACACAGAGTTATATAGTTACATATAAAATAATATAGAAATAAGTATGAAAATTAAAATATCAAAAAAGTCAAACACTAAAAACTCATGGTTCTATTTCTCCACCTGTAAATGAGTGTTTCTGTTCATGGATAATGAGGGTCCAGATTAAATGCTTGATATTCTGTTACATCTCATACCACATTCTCAAGGGCTCTCTGAAGTACTTAGCCATTGATTGTGTGACATGAGACACACTGACACAAGACCACCCAGCATGGCGTGCCCACAGCAAATAAGGTGCTGTGCTCTATGAATGAAGCAGAATTGCAGTAGCTCAAAAGAAACATGAAACATGCAAATTTAGAGACATCTCCACTCCAAGTGTTCGTGTGCATTATTTGTGCCCGATCTATGGTAGACTCTTCCGAGCTTATATTGGTCTGATTAGCAACAGTTGGACACCCTGTACCTTGACTCCAAAGCAGTGATATCATTTTGGTCCTCTTGGAAAATGAAGTACAACCACCAACCAACCACAACAGGTTAATATTCTATCGTACATATTATACATGGAATGAAAATTTATGAAATATTTCTTATCTTTTTATGATTTCAAACAAAAGACGCTAATGGCAAAACACAGAGTCCTCGAGGCCACAGGTTCCTCACCCCTGACACAGACTTTTAATATAGTGTTTCCAGCTCTTGCTACATGGATAAAAGGTATTCTTATAATATTTCTATATTCAAAGAACAAATTTTTTTTATCATCTTCACCATGAGAGCATAAATATCCACAAAGAGGAAAAATCACAGGGAAACAGAAATGTGTGTGATGCTAAGCAACTCGCTTCCCTTCTCTAAATCTTAATTTCCTCACTTGTAAAATGAGGAAACTGGAGATGATCTCTAAGACTACTTCCAACTCTAAATCCAGTGATCCCAGAATTGAAGAAGTAGATTGATTATAGTAATTAAGAGCTCTTGTTTAGTTAAATCACACAAGATAAATGGTTCTTTGTTCCTAATCCAAATTATTCAAAGGATTGTCACATGAGAATATATCTACTGAAATACAAAGTTGTACTTCATGGGGGGAAAAAGTCACATACCTTGGTTGTAGGAGTCACAATCAAGTGCTAAAAAAAAAAGAAAGAATGAATGAATGAATCTTAAACTACAGAAAATACAACCACTTGGTTATTTCATTCCCAAACAAAATAAAACTTGTTTGTCAGTAACAATGTAGAAAAAGCATGAAGTCAGATCACAACTGACAGATAACATGAGGTAGCAGATTGCATGTTTGACTTGGAATCAGGAAAATGCCACCTATGACGTGAGCAGCATCAGAAAATCTGTTAAGCTGTCTGAGCCTCCGTTGCCTGATATGCAGAATGAAGTTAATAAAAGCTGTAGTACCTACTTTAGTGGGTTGTAGGGAGGATCAAATGAGCAAATTCAGGAAAAGCCTTTTGTAAAACTTAAAGTTCCACATTAATGTCAGCTGCTATAAACTGGCAATTCCCTTTGATCCATGAAGATTCTCTGACTATAGTACATCTTAATTAATTGCAAGCTTTCCCTCAGAGTTCATAAACAGGTGGGAAACCGTGTGTTCCCAATTTAAAAATGTCAACCTAAAACTCAAAATCATTAAGTGTGCTTCAACTGACTTACCTCCTACACAAGTAGAATAATAAGTAAAAAGATTCTAGTCTGGCAATGAACAAAGGCTAAGGCTTGAGAAACAAAATTCTAGTCAGAAAAGCAAAGCTTCACAAATGGTAGGAAGATTGGGATCATAAATCACAACCCTGAAGGATTTTTTTAAATATAGAAGTAACTGATGCCATGTTAAACATGGTGACAGCCAAATACAAACAAAAAGAAAATTCTAAAAGTCACATGTGGATAAATCTTCTTGACACCCTTCAAATCCTCTACCTCATAAATAAAATGAAAAGATTGGGTTGTCTTAATTGAGGGGCATTATGTTATATTATATTAATTTATAATTATAAACCATTATCTAATATAATTATATTATCATAATTATGTGATTAATTAGAATTTTTATTATAAATTAGCAAAGCTGCTTCAGTGTCTCATATCAAACAACTCTGTTCCTCTTCATTATGCATTATAAGCTGAGGACTCACCACAAATAGGGCCTCTCCAGTGAACTGACACCCCCTCCTGACAGCACTTGTAAGCATAAGCAGCTATGCTTGAACAGAGACACTCGCAGTCCCCACCCAGGTTACAGTTGCAGGTGTCTGTATGGCAGTTTTTGACAAAGGAAGTCACATCAATCTATACAGAGAAGAGAATGACAATTATTTTTTAAAATTAACTTAATATCAGATACTGCCAAGGATATTCTTAATAATTTTGAACACTGAGTAATGAGCTACATTTTTAAAGAAAATTTAAGTCCGTGCTTTTAAAAGATTTATTATTAGCTTAACACTGCCACCTAGAGTGTTATGCTAATCTCAGCATCCTAGAACCTAAAATCAACCAAAGACTTTTTAAAAAACAACACTGAAAACTAATAATGGAGGAGGGGTGGAAGTGAGATGGGGGAGACTGGAAATTCAAATGACACCATTTCAGAGATAAAATATTTGTCCTAATGCATTACTGTTAGAGATTCAACGATTCTAAAATTTAACAAAATATTCCTTTACCACATTTCGGCAGGGGGCAAAAATATCACTGTATAAAATTGAGCATTCTTTCTTGGCATAAGGAAACTTATTTTGATATGCCTCACAGGGCCTGACAGTCTCATTTGGTTTTTCACACTGTTGGAAAAGAGAAAAAGAAGCAGATTGTTTGTAAATACGTTGAGAATAGCACATAGAAAGGTACATGTACAGCAAGATATAATTATAATCAAGAATAAAGGTGTTATATATGTACATACAATATATAATACACTTCATGAATAATTTAGCATTAGGAAATCAATCAATCAATAAACATTTATTGAGCTCCTACTATGTGCCATACACTCTGCTAAACACTGGAAATCATAAAATTACAAGCACAAACTAATCAGTTTCTGTAATGTTGAGAAGAAAAAAAAGAAGTGGAATGTTTTGTGCATTATTTTATTTGGAAAAATAAGGAAATTCATAGACAGTCTTATGGGGGAAAGCCTACTAAAAGGTAGCATGACGATTCTGGGGCCCAAAACCATGGTCTCCAAGACATCTCCCTATCCTTTTTCAAACACTAGATCTAGTATATGCTCTTGAGGCTAAATAAGCTTCACGTGAAACACTTTGGTGTGCTTTGCATGTATTTGTGATATAAAATCATAGAATCTCAAAGTGGAAAGAACTTTAGACAGCTATTACTACTTCTAAATCCAACTGCCTTTTCTCATTACCTATTTCTACATAACCCTTCTGTCTTTTTGACACTTGATCACACTCTTCTCATGGTCACTCTCTCTGTCCCTGGACTCCTCTCTTCCCCTGGTTCCTTTCTCTTCTCTTCCCTTGGTTCTCCTTCTACCTGTTTGTCCAGTCTCCTTCGCTGGACCATCATATCCCCAAACTCTGTACGATGACACTCTTTCTTTGGGTGATCTCATAAATTCCCAGGGGTTAAAACATCATCTTGAAGATGACTCCCCAACACATATTTGTAATCCTAAATCTCTCTTCTGAACTTCATTCTCACATTGCCAATTACCAGCTGGACAGTACGACTTCTATGTAAAAGAAGCATCTCAAAATCAACATGTTTGGGGCAGTTAGGTGGCACAGTGGATGGAGCACCAGCCCTCGAGTCAGGAAGACCTGAGTTCAAATCCAGCCTCAGACACTTGACACTTACTAGCTGTGTGACCCTGGGCTTGCCTAGCCAAAAAAAAAAAATCGACATGTCCAAAATAGAACTCATATTTCCTCCTAACACCATCCCTCATTCAAACTTCTCTATTTCTTTTAATTTTTGGTCATGTTCAAAATAAGATATTTACAGATATGAGAAAAGATTTCCCACAATCTTTGCAGAGGTGAGAGGTCCACAGGTATGAAACATTACTTATATTTTCATATTTTGGGAATATTTATGAATTTTGATGATTTTTTTCTTTTTCCTTTTAAAAATATTTTTGTCAAATTGGATGGATTTCTGGGAAGGGGCAGTGGAAAAATTAAGCAATGCAAAACCAAAATATATCAAAAAAAATTAAGCTATTGAAATCACTTCTGTATGCATTATAAAAAAACACAAGTAAATAATAAAACCACTTAAGACCACCTAAAGGAAGCAATGATACATCTGGTCAATATAATTAAGAAATCCTTGCAAGAAAAGCAGACATTTTCTATTGCTTTTTTAAAGGATACCAAGATCAAGGGAAACATTTGTGCTTCTAGAGAGTAACTGGCAGTGTAGTGTGGTAGAAAGGACAGAAGTTCTGGAGTCAGAGGACCTGGATTCAAATCCCCTCTCTGATCCTTACTGCCAGTGTGGCCATGGGCAACTCACTTCTTCTGGGCCTGAGGTTCTCCTTCAGTAAAATGAGGGAGGTTTGCATCTAGTGATGGTCTCTAAGGTACTCTCTCAATCTATTATTCTATGATCCAATCTCCACATTAAAGATCAATTCTATGAATTAGTTTATTTCTCATAATATTGCAAACATAGAGCTGGAAGAGACCTCAGAAGCTATCTAATCCAACCTTTCTCATCCTATAGATGAGGAAACTGAGGCCCAGAGCAATGGTGTCAGTTCCTTAAGTCCAGAAAAGTATTGTAAGGTACCAATAACACCATCCTTACAGAATACAGATGCAGACATATTATCCTCAATTCATTTCTCCAGAATGGCAATTCTTACTAATAAAGTCTGGTTTAACATATATTTCATATAATTATTTTAAAAGTTTGCATATTTAACTTACCTGGCCTATTGTCCAGCTTTCTCCAAATACCTGAGCATTTCTCACTTCCAAGTTATTAGATGTAGTCATATCATTTGAAGTGCACTTGTCAAAGTTTCCACACAAACCTCCAAGTTTTCCCTAAAGAATAAGCAGATACTTCTCATAATATCCTATTGTCAAACTAGTATTTGTAAAATATGATTCATTAGAATTGTTCATACATTTAAAGAGTATTTTGAGCTAAATATTTCCACAACAGTCATTTATTAATAAAAATGCTCTGCTAGAAATACAGTGCATTTTTACACCTTACAAGCCCATCCAATGATAGTGGTTTACTTACTGTTCCATGAACCAGATACTTTATTTCCTGAATCTGGGCATTTCCACTGGCTGTCCCCAGGCCTGGAATGTCCTCCCTCCTCATCTCTATCCCCTGGCTTCCTTCAAGTCTCAAATTAATTCTTACCTGCTATTGGAAACCTTTCCAAGTTCCTCTTAGTTTTAGTGCCTTTCCTCTATTATTTCCTATTTATTCTATTTATTCATTTTATTTACTTATTTATCCTATACGTGGCTTGTTTGTCCACAGTTGTTTGCATATTGTCTCTCTCATTAGATATCAGGAACTGGCTTTTTTTGCCTTTCTTTGTATCCCCAGCACTTAACACAGGGCCTGGCCCATAGTAGGTACTGAATAAAAGCTTATTGACTGACTAGAATGTTACGTATTTTATACATAAGAAAAATGAGGCACAGGGAAATGAAGTGACTTGACCAGAGTCTCACAGCTTGTAAGTGTCTAAGGTAGGATTTGAATTAATTTCTTCCTGCCTCTAAGGCCAGTACCCTACCTACTACACCCACTCTACCTCTCATATTGACATAACCAGAATATCCATCTATTTCACCCATTTTCCATAATATATCCTAGAACAAAGGTTCTGAACTTCTTTGCATCATGGTGCCCTTTGGCAGCTTGGTGAGGCCTAACAATCTTCTTAGAATAACATTTAAAATACATAAAATAAAATGCATAGGATTACAAGGAAAAACAATTACATGAAAATACAATGATCAAAATACACATTTTTTTTAAAGTTCACAGATCCCAGGTCACACCTCTGTATCTGATTGCCTCTTATATCTCCATACCCACAGCCTTTCCACTCTAAGGATACCTCACTTATTTCCCAATAAAAATCCTGACTCTCCAGACTTTTTGACCTTGCCTCTCACCCTTTACTTCCTTGCTTTCCAACTCCCTTGTATGTGCTACCTTCACCCACTGGAAAGAGGCCACAAGATGGTGCAGTAAATAGACCACTGGGCCTGGAGTCAGGAACACCAGAGTTAAAATTCAGACAGTAGCTATGTCACCCTGGGCAAGTCACTTAACCCTGTTTGCCTCAGTTCCTCATCTGTAAAATGAGCTGGAGAAGGAAATGGCCAAGCACTCTAGTATCTTTGCCAAGGAAACCCCATATGGGACCATAGTCAGTCACAACTGAAACAAATGAACACTGACATCCATTAGAAAGTAAGGTCCTTGAGGGTAGGGACGGTCTTTTACTTTTGCCTGTATCTCTCTCCTCACTTGTTAGTAGAGTGACTAGCAATGCTTAGACAGCCAGGTGGCTCAGTGCAGAGAGCACCAGGGCTAGAGTCAGGAAAGCTTCAGTTCAAACCAGCCTCAACACACCATGGGATTGGTGGCCCCCGGCAAGGCACTTATCCTCATCTTCTCATCTGTCAAACAGGACAATAGCACCTACCTCCAGAGCTGCTGGGAGGGCAGACTAAGATAAGATGTGTAAAGGGTTTTGCAAACCTTAACGTGCTATATAAATGCTAGCAAAGACAGACAGACAGACAGACAGACAGACAGATAATATAGAGATAACACACACACATGTGTGTGCGTATGTATGTAGGAATGAATGTCTAATCTCTCTGTCTACCCAGGTAAAGAACATTTGTTGCTAAATTTTTCCAGGTTAGAAACCAATAGCACTACCAACAACCAACCTTACACATAACCATGGACTTTAAGAAAATGATCTATGAGGAAAAACATGAATTATTTGAACTCTGAGCAACAGCTTCTTCCTTCAATACTTCAAACATCTGTGGTTTCTTTGCTGTGGGTAAACCCTCCAGTGATGTAGGTCTCAGCCCCACCATGACCTGGTAGATAATCTTCAACAGTTGTGGTGGCCAAAAATTCCTTTTCCCCTGAGCCAAACTAGTGACAAACTTCTCCAAATGTAGTTATGCTGGTCCTCTGGATGATGGATGTACGCTCTCTCGCTGGGCTGATACTTGAAGTCTTTCCAGCTTGGTAGGATCTGCCAGAGGAATTTAGAGCTTGTGCTCTACTGGCATAGCCTTCAAGAGCCAAGGGTCAACCCCAGGACAGTCTGAGACATTGGAAGTCTTCGGTGGAAGTCATGGGACATCAAAAAGTTTAATCAAAACATCAAAATTTCATTTTACTTTATCTCAAATGGAGAAGGGAAGAATAGAAGAAAGGCTAGAAGGTCAACTGCAGAGTCAGATAGATTCAATTCCTTCCTCTGACACATTTTAGCTGTGTGACTTTGGACAAATCAGCTCACCCCTCAGCATCTTAGTCAACTCTCTAAGACTATAAATCACATATCAGTTACTTATTGATATGCATCAGTGTTGGGAGTTTTCACACCAATTTCTAAAAGATTTCTAAAAGAAGGTTCATGTCCTCAACCCCCCTAAAAGAATATCAATTAGATGTCAAATCTCGGCCTACCTTCCACTGTGATCCAACTTTGATATGTATGGTTGTCTTCTTATCCCAAAGAATCGTGATGTCTTTCTCTGGGAAATGTACCACAGCATAATACCCAGCCTTCCAAAGCTGGTATGTTGGTTTATTTACCAGGAAACCTGACCGTTTCTGAGGCAAAGAACATTTGAATTAAAAGATCAATTCCATGTTATCCATAACAGAAAAGTAAACCTTAATTACTTTCACATAAAGTGAACAAGTACCTCTTGGTCACCTCTTTTGTTCTAAGTATTACTGGGGTGTGATAAAAACATAAAATAAGATCTATTTCAAGATCTTTGTGAAAGTAAAATGAATACATGTACAACTGGGCCACAGTCTATAAGGTTATAAGCACCAAATTCAATGCAAGTTAAGATTTGAATGGTGGGGGAAAGGTTTTTCAGGCATAGAGATTATGCACAAAGAGAGGGAAGGAGGCAAGAGTGAGGAAATCACATTTAGGGGACAGTAGAATTAGAAGAGACTTCAAGTAAACTAGCTTAACCACATACCTAACACAGAAATGTCCTGAAAATTATCACTGTCAAGTCCTCATGCAGCTTTACGTTGAAGACCCCTCATGATGGGGAACTTACTCCCTCACAGGGGCAATTTTAAGGTTAGCTCTAATAGCCAGGAATTTGTTTTTATTAAATGGACAAGAGTGGGCTATGAATACATGAAGAGAGCATGTGCAGAAGTAGCATAAAAGGAAGAGAAAGGTATAACCAGAAGAAGAGGTGAACAGATGAGGTACTGGAAAAAGTAGGCAGCCTTTATGCACCGTTGGTACTCATACAATATAAGGAGACCTGCAACAAGATCCCAACATGTTGAATGGACTACCCCTCCATGGAAGGAGTGTGCAGCAGAACATGGGAAAGAACAGCACAGGATGGGAAGGTATGGATGAGGTTCAATCTGCACCATTGGAGAGAAATGTTGAGATCACAGATCCATCCGAGTTTTAAAAGAAGATCTACCCTAATTCCATTATAAGTTCCTTGAGAGCAGGGGCTATCTTTGGCATTTCTCTGGGTCTCCATAACTCATCAGAGTGCCTGGAACACAATAGGCACTTACCAAATGCTAGCTAACCAACTGTTTGATCTCCCCGTAATGTCTATCCATTGATCCTAGGTCTTCCTGTTAGAGGAATGAGATTTAACTCTTCTAGAGAGAGGCCTTTAAATTGTTTGAAAAGAAGTGCTCTTTTCTCCAGTCGAACATCCTTATTTTCTTCAATGACTACTGATATAACACAGTTTCATGTTGTTTGATCACTGTGTCATGGTCTGCCAGTTCCCCTTTTCTACTCTTGACTAATACCAAAGAAAAGTGGGTAATGACATTACTCTGCTTCAGATAAGAGCCTGTGAACCAACCCTCATCACAGAATGTCACTCTGCCAATAGAAGAGTCTTCCCCTACGTCCTTTCTGGATAAGAGAGATAAGGAGATCTCTAATGCCAAAATCTGAGACAAGAATCTAATTAGCCTAATTGTGGAGCAGTTCTAATTAGCAGCAGTGACCCTTTCCAATCTAAGCAGCTCAGGCTCATCCCCTAACTCCTTAATGCTACTCACAAGCAAGCACTGTTCCATTACTAGGGTCCCTAATCTTCCAGGATCATAAAGACAAGATCCATCTCTCAGGCCACAGCATCTGAGCTTCTGACCCAGAGGAAGCCCACAGACTCTTACATAGGGCCAACTGAAGAAGGAACTCCTCAGGGAACAAGGTTCTATGTGAGTGACGTACATGCACAATCACCTGGTTCTCACTCTAATAACCTTTCCCAGACTGCTAGAAAAGCTGGGGATGGAAGATCAGATCACCAGCATTAGACCCTTGCCCTGTGTGCACTTGCTGATATAAATTGAGCCTGTTTGGGAACAGAGGGCAGAGATTAGAGGTTGGAAGAGCAGGGCATGACTAACAAGCAAAGTGGAGCAAGCCACACCATACTGACCTAGTCTACCTGCATGCTTGTACCCTTTGATTTCTCAGTTGCATGGATAGAGAGAGTTGCCACCCCACAAGAAGATCTTCTTTTTAAGAGGCAGGCAAGAAAACCCTAGTCCAGAACATATAACTGATGCACAACTGGACCTGGGCAGGGTACATGAGGCTGGCAAAGTATCCTTAGGATCCTGTGGTCTAGCTGCATAATTACACTGCAAGTATGATGCAGACCCAGAGTCAAACACTGAATGAACTAAGAGAACACCCATATATAAGGAGGTGATAATCAGTAATGGAACTTATGTTATGGTTCTTTTGTACCTGCCATTAGGTGAACAGACAGATGACACTCTATCATACCTACCAATTAATAGTCTGGTTTGTTAGTTAACTAGTATTTATTAAGCACCTATGATGTCTCAGGCACTGTGCTAAGTGCTAGGGATACAAAGAAAGACAAAATATTCCCTACTCTCAAGGATCTCATAGTGTAATAGGGGAGATGATATGTAAACAATTACGAATAAAAAACATATAAACAGGATAAACTGAGGGTCATATCTGAGGGAAGGCACTAAAATTAAGCAGGACTGGGAAAGCTTTTTGCAGAAGGTGGAACTTTAGCTGAGACTCGAAGATAGTCAGGGAGGCCAGGAGACAGAGGAGGAGAGCAAATTCCAAGACTGGGGGACAGCCAGTGAAAATGTTCAGTCAGGAGATAGATTGTTGTGTTCAAAGAATAGCAAGGAGGAGGCCAGTTTCATTAGATCATAGAACATGAAGGGGGATAAGACTGGAAAGGTAGAAAGGGGGCAGGTTATAAAGGGCTGTCTAAGTGACTTTCCAACCTGACAGGTTATCTTACCTCTATTACAAATGTACCCTGATGGTAAGGTTACAGGTCTCAAAATGGCAGCTCACAAATGCACACATCATTTGGGCATTAGATCATCACTGGACATCTCTAGCTCTGCTATTCTCCACTCAGATCATCATCTCTACTCCCCTCTTGAAAACTGGACTGCAACCCTAGAATTTTCCTGGTCTTTGATAGGTTAGCTTATCCTGCTGGGTTCCAAGATTCCCCAATACTCCTTAGACAGCTCCTGCCATGCCACTGGGAGTGTCTCTCCTTCCTTCTTCCCCTCACAAACTACTTTCCAGGTTCTCTTCATATGTTATCTTCATCTGTTAGGAAGAAAACTCCTTACAAGCAGAGACTCTTCTAGCATACTTTTATTCATATCCCCAATGCTTAGTACCAGCGACTATCACAGAATAAATACTAAATAATGTTTTTCTACCTACCTGTCTATCAATCTAATCTACCTATTTATTACAAACCATGTCTTCATTCTCTGGCATTTGCTTTGTCAGAACTACATACTTTGTTGGTACTTTGTTAGGATGCTCAAGAAAGTCACAAATGGCAGTTGTGAATACACAAGATATACCTCTAGGGAGCATATGGCATACCCTACTGGTTACTCTACCTATGGAGACTAGAAGGTTACCGTAAGTCTAGGTAATGGCAGTTGTGCTGCCTCACTGGACCAATGATCCTTCCTTGTTCCTTCATCTCTTCCTTTGCATTTATTAATGGCTTATTGGTCTATTAATGGTTAATTATCATTATTATTATTATTATTATTATTATTATTATTATTATCATCATCATCATCATCATTATCATTATTATTGTGGCTTATTCATTAATGGGCAGCTAGGTAGTACAGTCAATATAGGACTGAACCTGGAGTCAGGAAGAACTCAGACACTTACTAGTTGTGTGACCCTGAGACAGTCACTTAAATCTCTGTTTGCCTCAGTTTCCTTATCTGTAAAATGGGGATAATAATAGCACCTACCTCCCAGGGTTGTGAGGTTCAAATGAGATAATAATTATAAAGTACACTTAGCATACTATATAGCACATAGTAAGTACCATATAAATGTTAGGGGGTTGGGGGTCTTTTTTGGAAGAGGCTCAACCCTGGCACTGAAAGACCCACTACTTAAGACCCAATACTCTCTGTTTCTGTGACTTACTAAAAGCATCTCTAAAAATGAAGAGGGGATGGCATACCTCTCAGACCTACTGACTGAAGCTGCTGCCTTCCCATCCCCACAGCTTGGCTATACTATTATCTTCCTTTCTATGTAACAGAACTAAGAAAATAAACATGGCATCTTAGAGTTGAGACAGACCTTAGAAATACTATCCAGAATATACTCACCACCTAAAACAACTAATCACATTACGTAATAGCTATATTTCTCATTATAAGTGGCTAAACTGGTATTCTTACAAAAAATAAATCTTTTTTAATGAATTCTGTTATTTTTAATGTTTCTGGATGGATTGCTGTATGGATGGATGGATGGATGGATGGATGGATGGATGGATGGATAAGGTCTAGTTCTGGACACCCTCTTTAGACTTGATAATACAACCTGCACCTATGCTAATAACCCTCACTAAGATACTATTTGGCATTTAAAGTCCTTCCTGGTCAGCCTTGAGTCTACCTTTCCAGGCTTCCTGCACATTAACCTCTCTCACCCACCCTCCATTCCAAACAAAGTATGCTATTCCTCTTACGTAACAATATGTATGCTACCCCTATGCACAGATTGTCCCTGGAATGCTTTCCATCCTCACCCATACCATACACACTTCTTGTTTAATCATTTCAGTTGTGTCCTACTCTTCATGGCCTCATTTGGGGTTTTCTTGGCAAAGATACTGGAGTGGTTTGCCATTTTCTTCTCCATCTTGTTTGTATAGATGAGGAAATTAAGGCAAATAGGGCTAAGTGACTTGCCCAAGGTCACACAACTAGTAAGTTTCTGAGGCCAGATTTATACTCAGGTCTTCTTTAGCTTCTTTCAATTCTCAGCTGAAATGTCACCTTCTACTATCCAGATCCCCCTAGTTGCTAATTCCCCTTTCCTACCTGGACTTAGAAATTACTAGGTACATATTTTGCATCTACTTATTTGTGTTCATGCTGTTTTCCTCCAGAAAGACGTCAAGGAAAAGGGACTGACGTGCTTCTCTAGGCTACTTCCCTCCATGAAGTAAGGGACTTGTTTTTGTTTTTTTATCCCTAGAATCTTGCACAATACTGGCAGGTAATTGGTGCTTCATAAATGCCTGATCAATTGAACAAAAGAGGACTAGTACAAAAAAAATCAGCCTGTCTAATGCCGTCTTTTCAATTCAACAATCCTTTATCACATTTCATCATGTGGCATTCATCCTGTCGAGATCTTGCGGATGCTGACTTCACCCAACATAATAGCTCTTGCTCCCAATTTTGAGTCACCTACAGATTTAATAAATGTGCTGTGCATATTCTCCCCCACATTACTCATAAAAAGTAGGAAAGGGTAGGGCCTAATTATGATTTCCTAGAATCATACAGAACACAACCCTCATAGAAGCTGAATGTTTCCAACTTCTCAGAGGTGTTTTGGAAATTCTTGCACTAAGTAGGAAGTTGACCTAGATGATCTCTAAAATCTCCACAAACTTCAAAAATCTATGATTCTGGTACCAGACCTAGAATTCAAGTGCTTCTCACTTAAAGTTTCACAGCTGTGTTAAGATATAAGTTGTTTCTTATTCTGAGAGCATGGATCTCAGTGATATTCTTCATCTTTCGATTTATATCTTATCATTTGGAAGCTTTGGTTTATCAAAAGAATCAAATCATAGCATAGGAATTTATTGAACACCTACTAAGGGCAAAGCATTGTGTAAGAACAACATAAATATATAGGAACAGCAGTTATTTAAAATAAATAAATAACATTATCCTTCAAACCTTGGGAATTTTCCCCATTTTGAGAATGTGGAGGCAGAAGAAAAAAAAAATGATTTTCCAAGGTCACTTAGAATTCACAGGAAAACTGAAGAATGAGTCCCATTTTATCATTGATATTTGCCTGCTTTCTCATTCCTGACATCCCCCCTCCCAACCTTTTCCATGCTTCTTTCCTCAATGACCACAAACCTGTGTGATCTGTCTTCTCCTTCTCCTAGAGGGCAAGGAATACTAATTTTTTTACCCAGCTCTTAACACAGGGACTACTGCATACTAAGCATTTAAGATAGGCTTTTTCATTCATTCAGTGGAGAAATAGTTAGACAAATTGTGTATGGATGTAATGGAATGCTATACTGACATAAGAGACTATAAGTTTGGGAGGAGGGGCACATAGAAATACTCGAAAAAACTTTTTTTTAAGGTGAAGAAAGCAGACCCAAGACAACAATACTCTCATCATATAAACAAAAACAACACTACCAGAGACTTGAACCCTAAATAACTGCAGTGACCAATCTAGGTCCTGGATGACAAATGATGAAACATAACTACATAACTGAGCCCCATTGGTAGAGAAGTGGGACATTCCAGGTGTGGAATATACAAATAACATACTTCATTTGACTTTGTTTAACTGTTTTGTTTTGTTACAAGGAAGGATTTAGTGAGGAAATATGGGTTAAAAACAAAAGTTGCCAATAAAACTTAAAAAAAGAAAAAGAAAAGAAAATTACTGGCCTATCAGAGGCAAAAAATTGAAACCATGGCACATAAGAAGCCTTTAGAAAAAAGGACCATGAAAACCAGATCTGTCCTCTTCTCAGTTTGCTCTGCTTAAGACAAGTTAAAGAGAAAACCAAATAAGTAAATTCATGAATTTACTAACCTGTTTGTAAGGGGAGTCATTCAAATAAATCTCAGTGTCTCCAACAGAAATCAGTAAACTTTTTGAACAAATAATATCATTATCAAAGCACTTTTTGTTCTGAGCAATAACAGATATAGCTGAGTCCTCTGCACTCTGTAAGATTAAGGAGAACATTGTGTTAGTAACCATGACTTCACTGTGTGTAAAGTCCCAATCACATTCCTAATGAAGACCACCATGACTTTGTTTTTTCCAAAATAAGTGCTGAAAACAATAACATCCTGCATTCATGCAATGAAGGACTTAAAAAACACACATATAAAATAATGGCAAAAAAACCCAAAGTACAACAGTCTTTATACATGTTTGTTGCTGTTGTTCAGTCATATTTAACTATTTGTGACCCCTATGGGGTTTTCTTGACAAAGATACCAGTGTATTTTGCCATTTCCTTCTCCAGTGGATTAAGGCAAACAGGGGTAAGTGACTTGGGTCATGCAGCTAGTAAGTGTTTAAGGCCACATTTGAACTCAGATCCTCCTGACTCCAGACCCACCACTCTATCCACTGAACCATCTAGTTGCCTTTTATATATGTTTACAATTCACCAAAAAAATCCTTCCAAGCACCAATCTTAATATCTTTTTTTTTCAGAAATGTGAACATGGATTTAAATCAACATGCTATTTTTTTGTTGTGTTTTATTATGTTTTTGCTATAACTAAAGCTTTATTTAAGAACTATGGTCAATATTAGGACCAACAATGATTCTAAAGGATGGATAATGAAGCATAGTACCAAGGGCAGGCTAGAGCCAAGGCCTCACTAAAGCTGATTATTAAATTTTTATTGTGAGCATTTGTACCTCAGAAATCTGGCAAAGGATAAAATCAGGGATTGGCCTATTGTTTTGTTGATTAGCTATAGACTTTAGAAAGTGAAGGAGAAAATGTTAATAATGAAAATTAAACTTTAAAATGTGCCATGTGAACTTGTTTTCTGGAGATCCAGTTATTAAATGTTTACCAGCACACCACTGTGACCACTCATGTCCTTACAGACAATCAGTGGATTCAAGATTCAGAATAAAACATTTTTCAATATGGTCAATGTGGGAATCTGTTTTGCTTTACTATGCATATTTTTTACAAGGGTTACAGTTATCTTTTTTTATTAATAGAGAAGGGAAGATGGGAGGGAGGCAGAATAAATGCTTGCTAACTGAAAGTTTAAAAAAAAAAAAGCCCTATGACTTTGGTAACAAAATACTTCTCTTAGAGAAACTTAAAACATCCTGAACTAATCGTCTGCATTTCGTAGCAATAAGAACATTTGAATCATCTGCACTCTGGAAGATTAAGGAGAACGTTGTGTTAGTAAACATGATTTTGCTTCTTTGTGGAAACACAAGTTTAATGAAGATGTAGAATATGGAAATCTGGATTTAGAATTCATAAAATGAAGGATAAAAAATAAGAGCACAAAGAACAAATCTCTAAAAAAGAAACAAAGGAATGAAGAAAGAAAAGATATAATAAATCTTCAAAAACAAATTAGAGAATTTATAGAGGTGGTTTAGTCCTTATACAAATAAATATTTCACCAAAATCTTCAAGGTTGACTATACTAGAATTAAGAGTGAGAGCGAAAGCAGGAAATCTAAAGCACTACAGATAACTGAGCAGGGAAGAAAATATATCCATTTGTATATCTCAAGGTGAATAAGAAGGATCTGTGATTGCAGCAGCACGAGGGACTCCCAGGGCAGGGATTCACTCCACCTAGTAGATCATATCTATAAATTAGTAAATCAGTCCTAGACAAGCAGAGATTAAGTGATTTGCTCAGGATAATAGAGCTAGTAAGCTTCAGAGGCAGGATTTGAACCCAGGTATTCCTGCTGCCAAAATACTTTGTCTACTGCTCTAATCTGCTTCTAAGCATAGTCTCACAAAGGCTAAATAATGATTTGACCATAAATTAAAATTTAGATTCAGAATGTTTGGTAAATGCTAACAAAATCTATCCACTTATACAAAACCATAACCATATGTGAAGACCTAAAAGAAATTAGGAAGGAGCTAGGGATTTGGGATAACAGTAAAGAGTTGAAAAAAATGAGCTTCATTAAGAGATGTCAGAGAAAATTTAACAAAAGAAAAATTAAAGAGGTTTCATCTATATTTTACTGTTAACACTTATCATGCTTATCCCCAGTTCCTTCCATTCTCTTCCCATCAGGTAAGAATAAACACCCCGAGAGTCCCCCAACTAATAGCGTCCCATGAATATCAAATCACAAGGGAAGAGCTAAGGAGCTTCTGAGAAATTACATTTCCTTTGAGGCTTAATGCTTGATTTTCATGACTTCTACTACCTTCTAATTATTAAACCTAATCTTAGCCTTTAAATCTGGAACATGGAGGTTAATTCTTATTCTAATGACTGAGTAAATTCAATAAACATTCAACAATCATAGTGACAGAAGAATTCTTTTCTTTTTTTCACTTGGTGCAAAAATAGTTGGAGGAAAGAGTTGGTCTAAGTTCAAGGGCAGAAGGAGGGATAGTAGAAAAATTGGATTACATTGGTGAATGCAGAACCCAACCCAAGCCCAGATGCAGTACTGCTAGGAAAGCAGACATCCACTCCCTATCCTGCCCTATTTTGGTCCTACTCTCTCCCTAGGGGATGCCTCTCTCCACCAACGACACTGTGAGAAATAATTCATTTGGAACCCTACTCTATTCCAATCAGTATTAATCAGCTTGCTATGCTACATAAATCATATAGAGATAATTACATGAGATAGCTTCTTATAATGGGCCTCAAACTGTAGTGTAATATTCACTACTTGTTTACCGAGTTATGAGGCTCACTTGCACAACCACAAGAATGCTGACAAAGATATCTACACTCTGTTTTGCTCAAATTCCATGTCTAAACCCAGCATAGGTGAGATGCCTTGATGCTTTAGAAAGTCACCTCCGGACCATTCTATTTTGTCTAACGTGAGCAGGTGACCATCTTATGACCACTTAGTCAGTGGAGATGCCTCATACTTCACCCAACCTGTGACAATACCCCCTTTTCCCCTGCTGATAAGTCATTTTTGGCCCTCAAGAGCAAGGTCTATCAACCAACAAGATTCTGTATTTTACGATGCCTCTTTGGAATATTGGGAAGAAGAGGGTATCTCAGATTGTGAGTAAGATCTGAGGTCCACTTCATGAAAGGGGACTGTGGACTCTTTCATAAAGCTCCATTAGCTCAGAGCTCTGCCTCAATCTCTTTTATTGCAGTTTGGACAATTTTAATCCCTGTACCATCAAGGAGTACATCCATCAGCACCCAGGACTGAGCATCAGTTTTCCCACCATAGGCATAGCTCTGCACAGTGCACATATTATCTCCATTTAAACTTCCCCTAGTTTAGCCTAGTAATGGGCAAGTAGCTCAGTGAGGCAGCTAGGTGGCACAGTGTATAGTTTGCTGAACTTGCATTCAGGAAGACCTGGATTCAAATCCTACCTCAAACACTAAAAAGCTATGTGACTCTGGCAGGTCAGTTAACTGCTCTTGGCCTCAATTTCTTCATCCATAAAATGGGGTTCATAATGCAACCTTTTTCACAGGGCTGCTATTAGGATCAAATTGATAACATATCTCGAATACTTTGCAAACCTTAAAGCACCATATATAAATGCTAGCTATTGATGACTGCTGATCAAAATCTCCCTCTCCTATTTCCTGATTGCTGTGTATTGCTATGCACATTTCTTCAGGTGTCTATGATTACCAAATGATTTCTTCAGAGCTTTTGTTTCTTATGAAGCACTTCCTTTGTCAAGCACTGACGTGATTGTGAAAAAGAGAACAATAAGGATACTTAGGATGATTACCCAATGAGTCACTTGAAACCACTTTTATATTTTGTATTCATCTGGCAGTGCACTTGAGTGATTATTTTCAAGAAATAGTAGGAAAAAATCATTCAGGACTTCAAATTTAAAGGAAAAACATTTTAGGTTTTATTTTGCTATTCCTCTTGGAAAAAGTTATTTAGAAAAAGAGAGATGAAAAGTTGGGGAAAAGACTTTGTTGTTACTGAGTCACGTCCAACTCTTTGTGACCACATGTGAGGTTTTCTTAGCAAACATGCTGAAGCTCATTTTATAGATGAGGAAACCGAGGTAAACAGGGTTAAGTGACTTGGCCAGGGTCACACATCTACTAAGCATCTGAGGAAGGATTTGAACTCAGGAAGACGAGTCTTCCCGATTCCCAGCCCAGTGCTCTATCTACCTAACTGACCCCTCTCTGTCTGTTACCATATTTTAAGAGTCTCAACCTTGTCGATAACAGTGTTTATATTAAAGCATAGATATGGAGGGACATCTTGCTTAGAGGCTGCTGGTCAGAAAGACTTGAGCTTGAATCCTTTCTCAGACACTTATTGGCTGTGTGAAAACCTGGACAGGTGACTTAACCTTTTTGGGTCTCAGTTTCTATATCTGTAAAATGAGGATAATAGCATCCACCTTATAGAGTTACTGGGAGGTTCAAATAAGATAATATAGCTAAAGTAACTTGCAAATTGTAAAGCACTACATAAACATTAGCCATTATAATTATTATTATCATTATTAGGCATGGTATGATCTCTTTTATGATAGCACATTTGGAACATATCTTAAAATGGAATCATATTCCTTAAGCATAACTTCCCTTCAGTTTCCACTTCTGCTATCTTTCAAGTTAATCTCAGATTTTGGGGAGTGATGATTAAGGCACTGCTAAGCAACATAACACAAATCTGCAAAGCTTAAAAAAAAAGGTCAGTACCTACAAACAACCATTGTTAATCATAGTTCTTTTTTTCCACAAACTGAGAACATGGGACAAATATTTGATGTTTCTAGATAAGAAAGTTTCCCTATTTGCTATAAAGTTAAGCCCCCAGAATAGGGAAAGACCTTAATGAAACACTCCCTAAAGGCTCTTCTATAGGCTAATTTATGTCAGGAAAGGAGACTTGGGTTCAGCATCATCTCATTCCATTATTGCCAACTGCAGTCAAATTTGGACCTGTGATATTATTCAGATAGGATTTTGACAGTCAGAGGTTTGAGGAGAAGGCATTGTAGGCAGAG